AACAAGGACATCTGTTCAACTATGTTCATAGCAGCACTATTTGTAATAGCTAGAACCTGGAAACAACCTAGATGCCCCTCAACTGAAGAATAGATAGAGAAAATGTGGTACATTTACACAATGGAATACTACTCAGTGGGAAAAAAAAAAAGCAATGGAATCTTGAAATTCACAGGCAAATGGATGGAACTAGAAGAAACCATTCTGAGCGAGGTAACCCAGTCACAAAAATAGACATTGTATGTACTTAATCATATGTGGATTTTAGAGATAGAGTAATGGATTGCCAGCCTGCAGCTCAGGCTGCCAGAGAGGCTGGTAAACAAGGAGGACCCTAAGAGAGACATACATGGTCCCCTGGAGAAGGGGAAAGGGACAAGATCTCCTGAGCAGGGAGCATGGGGGGAAGGGAGAGAGAACTAGGAGAATGAGAAGGGGAGAAGAGGAGGGGTCAGGAAGACATGACGGGACAGTTGAGTTGGGGGAAGAACAGAAGAGAGCAAGATAAGAGATAATAGAATAGAGGGAGACATTATAAGTTCAAAGAGAAATCAGGCGCTGGGGAAATGTCTGGAGAGCTACAAAGATGACACCAACTAACAATCTATGCAATAGAGAACAGGCTACCCTTAAATGCCCTCTTCTGATAATGAGATTGATGACTAATTCATATGCCATCGTATAGCCTTCATCCAGCAGCTGGTGGAAGTAGAACCAGACACCCACAGCTAAACCTTCAACTGAACTGAAATCCAGATGCAGAGAAGGAGGACTGATGAGCAAAGAGATCCATACCAGGCTGGTGAAACCCACAGAAACAGCTGACCTGAACAAGAGAAAACTTTTGGTCCCCAGACTGATAGCTGCATGGGACTGATCCAGACCCCCTGAATGCGGGTGTCAATGAGGAGACCTTGGAAATCTATGGGGCCCCTTGTAGCGGATCAGTACTTATCACTACCATAGGAATGGACTTTGGGAGCCCATCCCACATGGAGGGATACTCCCTGAGCCTAGACACAAGGGGGTTGGCCTAGGCCCTATGCCAAAGAATATGACAGACTTTGAAGACCTCTATGGAAGGCTTTACCCTCCCTGGTGAGCAGAAAGGGTATGGGATAGGTAGGGTGTTAGTTGGGGGGTAGGGGAGGAAGGGAGGGAGAGGGACCTGGGAGTGACATGTAAAATAATTTTCTTTCTAATAAAAAAAAAAGGAAAAAAATAAAAAAGGAGATCGTGTGTTGAGACAGGTCAGGTGCAGAGGCCAAACTTGCTCCTTCTACAATAACCCTTTCCACACTGCTCTGCCAGTCCTCCAAATGGCCTGACTGCTTTCACTTCTTTAAGGTCCCTCACCACACTGGGGACCAAGCCCCATTGTACAAACTCTCAGGGGACACGGGCAAGCTATTGCAAAAGAACATGGGAACAGTTCACAGCATTGCTACAAAGATAAGCAAGGAAATGGATGTCAAGGTATAACCATTGCCTGGCCCTGTGACATTCAATAAATAACTGCTCCCCTTGTGAAGATAAAAATCGGCTCTTCTAATTGCTACTCCGTTCATAGAGTAAGGTACTTTGCCGTCTATTCAGGATTTATTGGTGTGGTATGAAGACACATTTAGGATGCTTCAGGAAGCGAGTAGATAAAATGATACCAGGTAAAATTTAAGGTGCCTTAGGATGGTTCTGTAATTCACATACAGGATTTAGTTGCTCAAATAATAATCTCAGCATTTCCTGATGGTATTGGTTGGTTGGTGTGATTATAGGATCTTGAAGCTTGGAGATGTGTCAGGGAGAATATACAGTTCTATGGAGAAAGTTCTTAGGAAAACAAGGCAAAATGTAACTCAGGGAGAGACAGTGACTTGCCCAAAGTAGCACAGGGAATCCGTGGCAAAGCAAGGGTCAGGGTATGGCCCTCTGGTCACCAGACACAGTGTTGTTAGTATTTCAGTCATTTCTAAAGGACAACTGTCCTACCTCCCAAAAGACAATCACCCTGTGCTCTTGGCCACCCATTGGGATTTCATTCCTCCCACTGTGGACATCAAAGTAAATGCTCCCTGGAAAGGAGAAGTCATCCAGCTCCAGAAAGCACACTGGACTCAGCAGTGTTGATGCCACAGAGATCACAGGACACATCCCACAGCCTCATTTCAGGTGCTGTTGTTAGTGTTCTCTATTTACCTTGTCTCATGGTTTCCTCCTCAAGCCATAAAGTATAGAGGGAGCCGCTTTCCCATTTCCCACCGTGTGTTGTTTGGTGTTGAGAGCACCTAGTCTTGTCTATGAAGGGACACCTGGAGTTTCCCTTTGTTCTGGTCACTGGGTATAAACGAGTCTTGTTCTGTGACTGTTTCCAGTGATGGAGAATTCATGATAAAAGAATTGCTTGGCTGGATGTGGTGATGCATGCCTTTAATTCCAACACTTGGGAAGGAGGCAAAGGCAGGGCACCTCTGTGAGTTTGAGGCCAGCTGGAGAAATAGCAAGTTCCAGGCCAACAAAGGCTACTTAGTAAGACCCTGTCCAGAATGAGACACACACACACACACACACACACACACACACACACACACACACACACACACACACACACACACACACACAGAGTGTGGTGGGGCACTCTTGAGGATATTTTTGAGTTCCATGCTTATTTTTTGAATAAAAAACTTGTATGCTTAAATCTTTGGGTACAAAGCCAGGCTTGAATTCTCTTACCAGAAAATAAAAGGTTTTACAAAAGTGGTAAATTTTACTCATGTATCAATAAATTGAATAAAGTAAGCTTTTTATTTTTATTAATTTTTGGGTTTTCTAAAGTCGTAAATCTTTAGATCTCCATGGGAAAACACAGAGAAGAAAATCACAATCAACTCGAGGTTAATGCTGTGCCACCTGGATCTCTTTCATGTCCTGTCACCAAGATGAGTCTCTCTCCAATTACAGGGTTCAGGCCAGTGAGGTACTGGGACTCTCCCCGACTTTTCTGCCCTTCCCTTCTAGCAGTGATGGGGAGGAAGGGAGAACAAAACAACAGAACAGAGAGCGACATTTCCCCGAACTTGTTACATTTCAAATCCAGATAGTACAGGAACAATAATCACCAATGGTCATTTAATAATTTAATAGAATGGAGTTAATAATGAGCGCAAACTGGAGATAACTGTATGTGTTCTTTCTTTTTTCTTTTTTCTTTTTTTTTCTCAAGTCAGGGTCTCTTTGTGTAGCCCTGGCTGTCCTGGAATTGCTCTGTTGACCAGGCTGGACTGAAACTCACAGAAATCCACCTGTCTCTGTCTCTGGAGTGTTGGGATTAAAGGTATGCTCCACCACTGCCTGGCATGTTCAATTTTTTTTTGGTCAGAAAATTTTTCCAAGTAGTAGAACTGGGCTTTGAAATGTCTTATTTTTCAGGGTGTGTAGTGACATTTTTAAAAATGCTTATTTCTTTATTGTGTGTGTGTGTTTACGAACATGTAGGTTTATATACATGTCACCGTGTGAATATGGAGGTCTTTTATAGATTTTATGGAATTGGTTATCTCCTTTCGACATGTGGGTCTCAGGCTTGAATTCAAGTCATCAGGCTTGCTTGGCAGCAGGCACCTTAACCTTCTAGACCACCTCACCAGTTCATGTTGAGTTTTTAACACTCTGGTTACACCTCTAACAGAGAGTCCAGCCTTTCTGCCAGACTTTGATTTAGACAATTGCCAAGAGCTCAGATTTCCTTTGGAGTCTTATTGCATTTGGCATGTAGGAAAATATCCCAAGAGGAAGAGGAGGGAACACAAGGAAATGTGTGTATGTTAGCTAAAGTAAGGGATTGCTCGTCCCTCCCCTCTCCATACAGCTTCATAAGTGTATCTTCGAGGCTTGTCTTGACCTCTTTAAACTACTGTGGCTATTTCTTGGCTCACTCTACTCTGGATGTTTTGTAGGGCTTCATGGAAGTGAGGGTTGGTTTTTCTTTGGAGCCTGGAATCGGGCTTGTTTGGACTTAGAATCTGGGGATTTCTCTGTGCGATGAGCTTGGAATGGAGTACCACGGTCAACTTTGGGAGCTGTCTGAGAGCATGTGGAATGTTCTAGCAAATCAGTTTGCAAGCTTCTGGCTGCTGCCTGAAAGACCTGGTTCTCTCTGTCTCAGGGAGTGTAGCTCTGCTGTGGCCAGACAGGAGACTCTGAGATGACCTTCAGCTGTGGCACTAATTCCCTCTCTTCACTCTTGGCCACCCTTATTGCTCAGTGCCTCATTTTGGCTCAGTACCTCAGCTTCTGATTTTTCAGGTTACTTGAATTTATGACTTGATTTGGATTCACTCACTGGCCATGACCTTGGCCCTCACCCCAGGGTATTATTTTCAGCATTTATCCTGTAGCTCTGGCACTGCCACCTTGGGCAGGAGGTGTTCTGTCCCATGGCAGCCTCACACCCCAGGTCCAGAGAGACAAAGGCCAAGGCACATGTATTCCAGGTTCTTTGTCTCCCGTTTCCCATCAGGCCTCTGATGAAGCGGGGCAGAGAACCACAGTGTCAAGGTCTGCTGTGAGTCCTGCTTTTTGGATGAGAGGTCAAACGCTTGTCTTCTGGCAGCACTCAAGGTCACCACTCCTGCAAAGAAATGTGGCAATCACTCAGATTTTCATCCTCCGGAGAGGAGACAAAATGTTCACAGGACGAGGTGCAAGCTGTGCCCAGCTATGCCCAGCTGTGCCCACGAGCAGGCCAGAGAGCGGAGAGTTACACACTCACACACTGAAGAGCTCCTGGTAGAGAAGTTCCTTGTCACACACCCTCAGGCAGTAGACCTCAGATTGTGGGCCTCAGGCCTCTCAGAGCACTAGGGCCGGGAGAGGCAGAGACACACTCTCTCTGTAGAGTGAACATCCATAGGAACCAATCAGCACAGCTGGAGGCATTGTTATGAGTTGAGATCACTGAAGTCCAGGATGTATATCCATATCTGTAAGAGAAGACTTACAGGAGAAAACTGTCCAATAATGGGATGCCCAGGAGAGGCACCTGGGTCGTGCTCTTCCTCTGTAGCTTCTATAACTGGTACCATGGAGCACAGTCAGCTGCATGACTTGGTATAAGCACTTCATAAACTATGCTCTCCCCATTGGAAGACATCCAGCACTCACCCCAAATGAGTCTCCTGAATGATCCAATACACAATACACACAATGTGAATTATGAGGAAAATCTCTGAAGTGCTGCTGCTTCCTAACAAAACAGAGACATCCGCATAGCCCTGGCTTCCCAGTACACATGAGGTTTGCATCTCAACAGTTGGAGTTGTGAGTACTAGCCATGCACAGAGCCTGCTGGCCAACTTAGTTTACCCTTTGTGGGTGGAGTACTTCAAGTGTACTTGGTGACTTGTTCCCCTGGGGCACCAAGACCACATAGGGCCTTGGAGAGGGACAGAGAGGGACAGAAGGGACAGAGTTGGTTCACTCTTCCTAGCTTTACCTGCCTGGGATTCCCCTCTCTTCAGAAATACCTCCTCTCCATTGATGCCAATGATGGCTGCCAATACCTCTTCTAGGACTTTTCAAGTTGCTTGAGGCTGGGGCAAGCAGGTGATCCCAGGTGTATTATTTTTGTTTTTGTTTGTTTTATGGTGTTTGTGAAATTCTGGCATCCTCGTGTAATGGCAAGTTTTATTGAGAGAACGAAAACAATATATGGTAAGAAGAGAGAAGTGTTTTCATCTCTCTCTCTCTTTTTTCTTTTGGTTTTTCAAGACAGAGTTTCTCTGTGGCTTTGGAGGCTGTCCTGGAACTTGCTCTTGTAGACCAGGCTGGTCTCGAACTCACAGGGATTTGTCTGCCTCTGCCTCCCCAGTGCTGGAACTAAAGGCATGTGCCACCAATGCCCGGCTGTGTTTTCATCTTTTTAAACGTCCATTTACTTACTTACCACATGCAGGGAGCATACATGTGGTGGTCAGGGAACAGCTTGTGAAAGTTGGTTCCTGCTATTTACCGTGTCGGGCCTGGGGATTGAATTTGGGCCTTCAGGCTTGGCAGCAAGCCTCCTTACTCTCTGAGCAATCTTGTGGCCCCTGTAGTGGCTTTTTAAGTTTGGTGGCTTCTTTGCTTTATCCAGGATTACAACAAATACCTTTTTTTGTTTTCTAAACTGTTTCATGTTACTTAATTTAAAAAAATAAATGAATTGTAGGTAAAATATCCATGTTCAAGGTTACACTTCAGTTCCTACCACACGCTTTTGGTAAACCCCTTTCAGGAGAAAAAGCAGGGGCTCGGTGGAGTTAAATGAAGACCTGGAATCTTACTTTGCATTCTTAGTATAGTCATGGTTTGCACTGATGTCCACTAGGCCCCTCCCTCGAGGATTAGCACAGACATGTCTACTTTGGCTTTTGTGACAAGCCCTGGAACCAGGCTGAGCAAACACTGTTCATTTGGGGAAACTAAGGTTGAAGGAATTAGGGGACTGCCTTCTGTCAATCAACACAGGAAAGAAAGGACTTATACTCACCCTGTGGAGTGATATCCAGCTCTTCTCCATAACCACACCTCACTGTACCCTGTGCAAACACACAGACAAGTACACAAAGGGATGCTCTTCGATTGGAGGTGACAGATCAAGATCAGTGCACTGACATCTCTAGGACTGTGTCTCTGCGTTCTGTGACGTAGCCACTCACAATCCCTGTTACTTTTTATTGTGTCAAATTCCGACTCTTTCTTGGTACTAACTGGGATAAAGTAGTTCCCATTATCTTAAAACTTTATAACATATAAATAGTTTGTACTTTGTCTCTCTTGGTTTTTAATTCCGAATGAAATGTGGAAAAAAAAAAAGGGAAAGGTGACACATAAGAGAAAAGCAAAAGATAACTAATTCAGAGACTCACTTTGGGAGGCTCCAAAATTAGATCCCGTAATTAGTTCACAGTTTAGAAGCCTTTGGCGGAATTACAGTTATGCAAACACATTCCATTCATAGTTTTAGGAAGGCTAATTTTATAGGTGAATTCTGCTTAAAATGAGGGTCATGAAACTCTTATTCCTCATTTTTCTCCTTTTTATGAGTTTGTTCTATCCACCCAGAAAAGCCATGAACCGACACCATTGTTTATTGGAAACGTTAGTGGTAGGTAAAAAACAAAACAAACCAACCAACCAGAAAAGAGAAGGCTCAACAATGTTAAATCATAACAGCTGTTTAAGAACAGGAACACTCCTTCAAGGCCAGTGGCCAGAGGTGGCAGGCTCCAAATTTGATCCTCCCCAGTTTGCATGTCTTTGTGTAATTCTGCACAGGGGTGACATGGATAAAAGTCTAGATAGGAGGATTGGTTTGCAAGCTGCGTTTTTGTTTTCATCTTAGAAAATCCAACATACAATGAAGTAGAAATAACATGATCTAGCCCAGGTATTTAGAGTTCAAGGAAGTGATCCCTGAGGCAACCCCTACCCTGTTAGCCATGGGCCAAGCTGAGGGCCACCAGGCTTCCCACACGAATCATTTGGAACACATTGTTAGATGCCTTTAATCACATGCTTGAATATTGGTTAAAAACAAAACTAAACTAAAATTTAAAACTAAATTTAAACTAAAATTTAAAATTTATGCAATGGGAATTCTTCCTATTGTAAAAATTCATGTTTAAGATTCAATTCTGCAGACAACTCAAAGAGTAAACAACATAAATAAACCATGCATTTAGGTTGACTCATCAAAAAGAAGTAGTTGGGAGGTAGAGCAGAAGGAGCAAGAGTTCAAGGCCAGCCTCAGCTACATAGAGAGGTGGGAGCCAGCCTGGATTATAAGAGACCTTGCCTTAAAAAATGAAAAGCGCCAGGTGTGGTGGTACACGCCTTTAATCCCAGTACTCCAGAGGCAAAGGCAGGTGGATCTCTGTGAGTTTGAGGCCAGCCTAATCTACAAAGCCAGGCTGTCACACGGAGAAATCCTGTCTTGAAAAACCAAAATAAATAGATTAAATAAATAAATAAACAAATAAATAAATAAATAAAGCAAGCACACAATTAAACAAAAATAAATAAAAAGAAAATGGTTACCTCTTCCTCCTGCACCAAATGTGGTGACTGTCTGAATGGACAAAAAAGGGGGGGGGAATAAAAGGTGATTATATCATCCTGGGTGTAACTTCTTGGATAGTTTCTCCCCCTACCTACAAAGCGACTCCCTTTGAACAAGTTTGTACGTGTATGAAACACCATCAGAGAACAGAGGAAGACAGGTCCGGGTAGTTTGGAATATGGCAGTTAGCCAGCACACTTTTAAATTCAGTGTGGATTTAGGCTCAGCTGGGAAATGTTTCCAGTCTGCACTTTCAGGCAGGAGAAGTGTGTGCAGTCACTCTAGGCTCTGGGGGCTGGGCTGCTGGTCCCAGTGGACAAAGATGTGCAAACTGTATTTTTAAGCTTTGTAATGATCTGGATGAACCTCTTGAGAGTCAAATATTCCTAAATGTTTAAGTAGTAAAAATCATGTCCTAAGAGAAGCCCTGTAGAAAGGCCTCCAGGATGAAAGAGTGCAGAGGTGTGCCCTTTAACACTGACCTGCTGGGTTAAACGTTCCATTTGTTCTTGTTGCTTTTAACATGGCCTGGCTTGAGACAGGTCTTGTTTGGTGATGCTCTTCTGTTTCTGTGGGACTCCATGGTGATGCATTTGCAGTAGAAAGAGTTTGAGGAACAGCCCCAGTTCAGAGAATGTCAACAGTTAACTGAAACAGGACTTTTCCGCATATTTGACGGCACCTTCAAAAGCAAATGGGAGATTGTTTGAATACTGTTTTTAGAAACTTATATTTGCGTTTATTCATAACTTCAGAGCATGGTACTTTGCTGAACTCTCCTAGAATTTGCCTGCACAGAACCAGGGCCATCGCACTTGCTCACAGTGTGCCAGCCTTTGGATCTACCTCCAGAGTCATTGGACAAATAACCCTCAAATGGAGCTCAAAGTCATGGACAGACTTGTTTTTTTCTAACTAATTTTATTACTGATCTCTTCTAATAGAATTAATTCACATTTATTACAGAGACAGCTAAGCCAAACATAACAAAGTAAATAATAATCAAATAAAAGTCTTTCCTTCTTATTCCACTTGAAATAACAATATTGTCCTCTGTTCATTCATGATAATTTATACAAATTCCTAGAAGTGAGATTATAGCCCAAAGGCATTCAGAATTCTAAACCTGTTGGCATTTATCATCAAATTGCCTGCAGAAATCTATCAATTCAAAAAGCCTCATCTGGTACATGAGAATGCTTGCAGCCTCCTCTTCCTGATGTGAACATTATGATTAAAATATGCACTGTGATTTTATAGATAGCAACAGTTTTTGTGTTTGTTTCGTTTTCCTGGGCAAACTTGTAGACTGCATTTACCCATAGCTCCCTTTGTCCTGTCAGGCATCATCACTCCTATGTTCTTCCCTATCTTGAAGGTTATATCTTGGCTTCCAGGGGACCTTGTCCTAGCATATTCTAGTATGTTCTAGTAGAACAAGAGCCTGACCTTTCCTCCTTTTGTGAGTTCTGTGTTTTAATATACAACTCCTGCTGCCAGCCCATTCCTGCATGTTATTTTAATTTACTAGTGTTAAGGTGAAGTTAATTGACGATACCATTCCAGAAAAACAGACACATTTGCTAAAGGCTCATAACTCACAGGAAGCCAAGTTATCATGGCACACCAGTGACGTTAGCATTGGAAAAGTAGAGGCAGGGGGATGGTTACAAGTTCCAACTTAGGGAGGAGACATTGTCTCAGAACAAGCAAACAGACAAACCCATCAAGACCCAAGTCACAGTAAAGAGCGGAGATGAATTGTAAAGGGTTCTGTTCACCGGTGCTAAAAGCAAGTTTTCAGTCAAGAGCTGTGCTCTAGGCCTTTGCAGATCCCAGCAAGGTAGGCTGGAAGAGTCCCACACCAGTGGCAGCTGGAAGCACGGGAGTAGAAACTGTGGTAATAGACAATCACAGGGTAGCTGTGCTTGTGAATTCACACCTACTTATTGACAACTAAATCTATGTGTGCATTCATTTGATCAAAGTTATGTGATGCTCACTTAAGACATTTACTAAATATTCCTACCAACTTGCCATTTTCTACAAAAAAACGCCCTTGTGAAGAAGTATCTAAGAAACAGTCTTTTTCTTATGTGGAATTTGACACATGTGTGTACGTGTGTGTGTGTGTGTGTGTGTGTGTGTGTGTGTGTTTAAATCCTGTCATTAACTTAAAAGCAGGGGTGGGAGTGGGGGGAGCTAGCTATAGTGGTTTAAAACTTAGATATGGACAGGTGTGTGATTTGGACAAGGATGTGTGTAATAACTGACTGTGAAACACTGCTGCTGCAGCCCTGTCTCTGGGTTCATGTTTCTTCTTGAATCTTTTGCCTTAATTCATATTGAAGACAATGATTTAAAGATGCCAGGCTTGGAAGCTAAAAATATGCAGGGCTTACATTACATCAGAGGGGTGTGTGTGTGTGTGTGTGTGTGTGTGTGTGTGTGTGTAACCCACTCAGTTGTCATCTAGGCATGAAACAGTCAGGAATCAAATAGCCAGATTTGACAGAGCAGGGATATTGAAGACATGTTCTGACTTTTCCAACATGCAGTGTTAACTTTTTACGGCTGATTTGCAGAGAGTCCCAGAGTTGTGCGGGATACCTTGTGTGTTCAGAAGGAAGGTAGAGCTCATTTTCTACTTTGCAGAAAATTTCTCATTTTCTTCCTTTGGCAAAAACAAAAGTTTGGGCCTGGTCTGAGGTAGGATTTCCTAATTTTTTTTTTTAAATCCTAGGAAGATAGATGAGGGTAGTCAAGGTTATATATTTCTTGCATTCAGAATGAATTTTTGAAAGTAAAAAAAAAAACTTCATCTTTCTGTACATTGAGATCTACAAATGAAAGTAAACACCACTGTCTGGGTGACATCGAGTCCTCTCTACAGACACCGGTGACACTGAGGAAGCACTCAGCTCGCTGTGCCTGGAGAAGGGAGGGGATAGCTGTAGGTAGATTGAAGGTGAGGGAGAAGGTTCTTTCTGGTGGTGTGACATGAAGTCCCTTACAATGTCCCCGGTTCATTTCCAGAGTGTAAATACGTTATTCTTTCTATTAAAATACCACACAGACCACCTGTTATTACGGGTGATTGACATTCCACGCCAGAACTAGAGGTGCTTGCATACTAACCTTTAGGGAGCGTTCACTTTAAAATGGAATTTGGGAAAAAACAGCATGTAAGAAAGACCCTAACACCTTTCGCGAGGGGTCCAGACTCAAATAATAGCAGAAAGTGGGGCTTAAAAGAAAATGTGGGTAGGTTTCTTTGTCTCCTAGGAAACTCTTCATTTCCGATTTGGGAACCAAGTGGGCCAGTCCACTGCCTCACGCACATTCCTACCCACTCTGGAGCGTTCCAGCAGGCAAAGATGGGACTCTGTTCTTTCTTTTGTGTGGCTGGACCATTTGTTTCTCTCCTGGCAACAGCTTCTCCACCCTTCATCCTCCCTGCTTTCTTCCGGGCCTGGGAACTTAGCGGCCAGGCACTGTGTGGCTGTCCCTTTGCCTGGTTTCGGGTCCCCCATGTGCAGGCACGCATTCATTAATGCCGTTTCCCAACAGCCACAAGAGCACCAGAGGCCGGGACGCCTCATAAATATTTAGAAGCTCCACCACCTTCCAGGGAGAAGGGAGAAAAGAGTATTTAGTGTGGAGTTGGTCGGGGTAATATGCATGTGAATAAGAATCGGGGGCGGGGGATGAAAGATGGTGGAAACTCCAACAAACCCGTGATCCCTGGGGGTCATTCTGCCTGTTCCTGCCCACACTATCCCGGGCCTGCCTTCTTCCTGCGCATGAGCAAACTGAGCCTGTTTCCAAGACAGTTGGCAAAGGATGTGTGCTCTTTGTTCTGTCCCGCACTTTCTTACAGACGGGTTTGCCTTGCCCTCTCTGCTGGGTTGGCGGCTGCCTTCTTCTCTGCCACCCACAGGAGTGAAGTATGCAGATCTGGGGATCTACACTAATGCGTAAGGCAAGACATGGGAAAAGACCGCGTTTTTGTCAGGAAAAATGTACACAAAATAGCTTTGTGGGTCATACACAGAACATTGACACTCACTACACCCTCAGGTTGAGTTAACTCCACAAATGTTTTATGGACAGAACCCAGGGCCCAAGGGAAAGTCTGCACACACACACACACACACACACACACACACACACACACACACCACACTGTGAGACTTTAAAGACTTCTCATGGATTCCGAACTCCTGGGTCTTTTTTTTCTTTTTTTTTTTTTTTTCTTTTTTTGAAGTGCGGAGTACACAAAGCAAGGGAGGGAAAGGGACTCAGAGCTCTAGAGGAGGCTAGAAAAGTCCTCGTTTTCTTCCCAGAGAACTGCAGAACTGTCTCCCTGGGATGACAGTCATGCTCTTAAGCTGGAAGTGAATTCAGGGGCAGAAACATGTATGGATTGACCAGGCTGGTTTTCACCTGGAAGGCAGAGAATGGCAGCCAGCCCCTAGGTAGCTTTGGAAGACTCCCCACTGTGAAAAGGATTGGTTTAAACAGGTGGGTCTAAGTCCCTGAGCAAAAGCCTTGTAATGCCTTCCAGTGATTGAGACAAAACAAAGGGATTACAGGTCTTATAAACTATCCTGCTCAGTTTGGAGTGCGTGCTATACAGCCAGGACAGCTGAATAACTAACTGGAGAAAATAACCTAGTTTGGTATTTCACATTTTGGAAATATCTGGGATTGCAATTATGTTGCTTTAAATGAAAGTGTGCAGATATTGATGGTTAAATTCTATATCATGGGTTAAATTATAAGGGAACCTTAGAGAAAATATGCAAAAATTCACAAAAAATTTCCAGGCTCCTCTTAGTCCCTCTTACTTAGTTTAAGAAACCTTTATTTAATAAAGCCAGATGGTGGTGGGAGTAGCACACCTCAGAAGCAAGTGGATCTCTGAGTTCAAAGCCAGCCTGGTCCACAGAGCTAGTTCCAGGACAGCCAAGGCTACACAGAGAAACCCTGTTTCCAAAACTCCATCCCCACCCCACCCCCCAAACAAAGAAAAGAAAAAGGAACAGGGGAGTTGCATTGAATGGGTTCTAAGAAGGTCTTGTAAAGATTGAAAACCGCAGCAGCGAGCCCCTCCTGAGGCTATCACCAGCTGCGGCCACACAGGAGGAAAGCCTGGTATGGACTCTGATCATTTAGAGAATTTTAACAGTCTGTGTACCATGAAGATGGGATTGTCAAGATATTTCTTGGGGAGTTCGTGGTGTACATAAGCACGTGTGTGTGTGTGTGTGTGTGTGTGTGTGTGTGTGTGTGTGTGTGTGTGTGTGTGTCAGCTCTGAGTCAGAGGCAAAGCTGGGAAACTGTAACTTGCCCCTCCTAGCTGGTGAAGTCGAGCACCAATCAGCTCATGCCTGAGGGAGGTTTATGAATCAAGGTAACTGGAAAGTGGGAATCAATGTTAATGGACTCAGGAGCTCCAAGGAGTCACAAGGAAGGGCTCCTCTTCAGCTGTGCTTCCTTATGAAAGATTTTATTTGGGCTTATGGTTCCAGATGGCAGAGTAACAGCATGGCAGCAGCAACAGGAAGCCGGGGGCTCGCATCTTGAACTGACAACAAAAAGCAGGGACAGACAGACAGACAGACACACACACACACACAGAGAGAGAGAGAGAGAGAGAGAGAGAGAGAGAGAGAGAGAGACTGAAAAATGGAGATAGTTTTTTTGTTTGTTTTTGTTTTTCAAGACAGGGTTTCTCTGTGGCTTTGGAGGCTATACTGGAACTAGCTCTTATAGACCAGGCTGGTCTCACAGAGATCACTCACAGAGTGATCCAGAGATCCACCTGCCTCTCTCTGCCTCCAGAGTGCTGAGTTGAAGGCGTGCGCCAACACTGTCTGGTTTAGGCCACAACGTTTAAGCCTCCCCAGGTGACAATTCAAATGCCTGAGTCCATGGGAGATAGCTCATTCAAATGGCTATAGTTAATAAAGACAATTTCCTACGACATCGAACATGAGGCACTTCTTGGGAGACACGGTGGGGAATGAAAAGTCAGGACATCCAAGAGAATGCCCAAGAGAGACAGGACCCTTTGAGGGGCAGGAGAATGATGTCAGGGGGTTGTGTTCAGGTCCCCGAGTGTAGACAAAAACCAAGAACAGAGAAAGTGCCTGGAACCTGCACCTGTGCTTAAAGTTGGTAAGAATGTTTAAGAAAGATTGGAAGCAGTTGACCCTGGTCTCTGCTGCAATGTAAATGAGGGAAG